AAGGTTTAAGTTTGTTGAAAATTTTGGGATGTTAAAAGTTGGTATCAGAGCCTTGGTTTGACTAAATTCGAGGAACAATCTTGTGAATCCAGTCTCAAACTAAGGAAAAAGCATTCAAAAAAATATTTTCAAAGTTGTTTTCAAAATAATCAAAAGAGGATGCGATGTGTACGATCAACTGGAGACAGTAAGTAGACCCCAAATCACCACACTGTATCTGATGTTGTGATATGTTGAAAAAACATGCTAGAGATAGGCTAGGGATCTTCATGAATTGCATGATATAATTTTCTGATTATATGATTCTTGGTAGCCTAGGGTTTCTTTCTTATATGGAATTGACATCATAACTGTAGTTATTTAGTGTATGCATCATAGTGGTACATAAATAAGATTCTATAACCTAAGAATATTTGGCTTATCCTTACTTCTTGTTCTTATTTGATGAAGGGCTTAGGGTAGAATAAAGTATTCGATTGTCTATAGGATCCAATGTTATGTATGATTAGCATACACGAGTTCTACAGGTTGGTGGAAGTTTCATGAGTGGGTGCGGTACATAGTGAGCCATCATGAGGAATGATTAGCCACTCTCGAGAGAGTGAGGGCAAGATGAAGGTGTACCTAAGATGCTAGTATTTAAAGATCTAGAATTTCATATGAGGATCTGCCTGACTTTATTGTGTCTTAATGCTAGTCGGTTTCGTTGCTCGAATGCTACTTGCTTTGTTCTTTGTGGGACTCACATTGAGGTGGGATAACTATCAAATGAATATATTAAGTTACATGCTATGGAGGTTAAATAATCTTAGAGCGAAGGATTTGGCCCTATTATGCAACTCTCGTTTGAGTCTAACCGTTGTAGGGTTAGGTCCTTTAGTCAAAAGATTATTTAATTTTGTTGCATGTAATTTTATTCTTGAAGTGGTTGACTGACATTTATTGGAGTCCTTCAAAATCTAATGGCAGGGGAAGTGGGGAATCCTAGGAGACCCTAGGAAGTATTTTAGTGCGGTTGTTTCGCTGTTAAGTAGGTATTGGGAGTATTATTATGAGTAGGTCTTAGAGGACCCGAGATGATTCTTGAGGAAAGTATGGATAGGTGTGGAAGGTAGTATTGGGTCCGTACTAATGGAAGCACAAGATCCATACTAAAATAAAGGAGAATTTTGGGGACTCTAAGGATTGGTTGGGGAAGATATCATGGTTTAATATCAAGATTCATGGCAGTGGTTCCGTATATGTCAATCTTTTGGTTATGGTTGATCATGAATGAGGATGTCGGTTTTGGTTTAATGGTGTAGAACTTGATGAATTTGTAGTTTTGAGGTCTCGAGGGCCTTACTCGAGGTTGTGCATTTAAGTCATGCGACTCAAGAATGGAAAATTTTTTATCACCGACTTGGGGATTGTAGTAGGAAGTGAGTGGGGTATTGATGGATTGGAATGTCGCTATCTATAGCGAGGATTATGACCTTTCAGTTTTCCGAGTTCGGAGAAGAGGTGAACTAGCTTGTGAATTTCAGAGTTGGGATATAAATCCAACATGGGCCCAGTTGGTTGTGGTGTTTCACGACAATATGTCAGCATGTGAATGTGCATGAGGATTGATGTGGTATGGATGCTTAGTGATGTGATCAAGGGTCTGTTTTCCTTGGATAGAGAAAAGTCAGGTACCAGATTGACGGTTGGGATTGAAGGCAAGGATTGTATGTTTTGGATCGTAAGTTGGTGTTTGCATATGCATTTGCATGAATTTCAGAGGTATTCAGCTGAAATTCAGAATTCTCTTAGGATTTTTCTGATCATTATCTGGAAGATCACCCTACGTGTGTTATACATTCCAAGTTTTGGTTCATTAGATCTAATATCAATGCATCCTCGATCATTGATCGTTTCATTCATCATTCAGTGGAGATTCTCCGAAAGTTGCAAGTTGTGACAGTTGAAGTTCAATGGATGTGTCAACCTGTCATCAAGTTCAGTACTGGTCGTGTGGAATTTTGGTTTATAACAGGCTCAGGTTTTGGTAGCATTCAGGATCACCTTGGAAGTCTTCTCAAGCTAGTTATCTATTGGTGGAATTTTTTCGATCTCAATCAAGTATAGGATCAATCATGAGGATGTCATCTGTTAATGATTGAGGTTTGTCATTGTGTTTGAACTCTGGTACTTATCCCTTTTTTGGATGAGTTAATGGGTTCTGTAAGGGAGTGCATTGTGGTAAATTCATTATATTTCCGAGAGGGGTATATATGGGTGGGTCAAGATATCAATGGAGCGATTGGTTCGGATTATATGCATGGTCATTTTGGGTTATAGCCTTTGAATTGGATCAAGAGTAAGACCGTTTATCCTATTCGGGTCGTGTACAACCATGCTTTCTTAGGGTTTTGCATCGGTAGTAGCTTGAATAGTGAAAGGAATTATGCGTGAAAAAAGAATGTGGCACTGTTGCACTCAGATATCATTGAGAGGGACATTAATTAAGTCCATGCAAGGCGATGGAATGAGGTTGAGTATCTTTAGGCTCCCGTAGTGTTGGTTGTAAGTTTCCAGGCGAATGATGGGATTCGACAAGGTTGGTGTAATACTGAGAGCATTCCAAACATAGGTTGTGGGCCTAGGTGATCATGATTGTTGATTTCTTCTGCTTATAGCATTGGTGTTGGTGCATTAATGGAAGTCAGGAGACTCACAAATCAACCGGTTTGGATAAAGGGAACAATTAAGGCTTGTTGGGAGTATCAGTCGTGTATAAGGAAGTCCCTGTGGAATCTTTGCATTGTAAATCCCATTTTGTTTGCAAGATGTTATAAGGGGTTTGATTATCATAGTAGGGTGTCAGTTATGAAGTCTCGAATCATGAAGTTCTTTGTGAATGTCTCGAGTGATTTTTCAGGTGGGGCTACACATGGGTTGATAAGGATTGGAGGAAAATATGAAAAATTCTTGGATTCCTCATCTTTGCTCATTGGGGCAGTGGTTGGAAATGGCATGACAAGAAGTCAAGGATTTATTAAAGGATTTTGGTACATATTATGGATTTGGAATTAGTGGAAATTTGCGATTGATGTGTTTGGGTAGTTTTTTGCGCATTTGGTAGTGGTCATACTCAAGGGCAAGGGGTGTATTCAACGTATGGATGAATGTAAGTCTTGGAATTTGGGTTATGAAATTTAGATCTGACGGGTTTATGGTCTCGGGAAACATATTGATAGATTTGATTTGGTGTTTGTAGCCCTGAGAGTCCCCAACTTTGTGGATCTATTCAGACATTCGGTATTATCCAAAAAGTTGTTGAATAGGTTGGCATTTTTTGTGCCTCACTGTAGTGGTTATATAGATGAGGCTCGTGTTGGGGACCGCCTTGTTTTCGGATAAAGGGTTCAGCCGCTGAAAACGATCAGGATTCCCAATCTCCCAATGGAATCAGCAAGGTAAGTCAGGGTCGGAACAGTTCCATATGGTTCGGATGGTAAAGATATCGTAATAATTACGTCTCGAGATAGTTGTGCTTGTTTAAGATTCGGTTGAGGTATTGAATTTTAGAATTTTAGGAGGGTTGTGGTGGTTTCTCTGGTAATGAAAGTTAGCAAAGTCAAGGTTGTTATGGTAGTCAGCCGACTGAATGAGTCGGATTTTAGTTCGGATCAGGTTCTGGGGAGGACCGTCTGAGTGACCCGAGGTGGAGATATGGAAATACTACCTTGGGTTAGTTACAACAACAGACTTCGAGGACAAAATCTAAGTCAAGTGGGGGAGAATTGTAACATCTTGTTTTGAGTCACTTTCATTGTTGACCATTATATTAAGATTTCTTACATGTTGCTCCCTAAGTAAAAGAATTAGTGTAAAGGACCCTTAATGGCATTTTTGTAAATTTGTACTTTGAGGAGTATGCGGTGCGTATGTGTGTACGTTAAGCGTACTAGGGCGCTCCTTAGTATGTTGGGTGTACACCTCGTACACAGGCATACGTGGTAAGCATGTAAACCCTAATTTTTAGGGTTTGGTTCATATTTAAACCCCATTATAGCTCATTCCCTTCTACTTTATCAACCTCCACTACTAGAAAAAATCCCTTTAATGACGCGCAAACAATGACACGCCCTGATAAACGATACGCATTTGTGCATGCCCTAACAAATAATGTTAGTTTTGCAAAATATGAAGGATAGAGGGCACCGCATTTGTGCGTGCCCTAAAATTAGTGTCAGAAAAGAAAAAAAAGAAAAAGCGGAGGGCACCTTTCATAAAACGTGTGTCATCTAAGAGTGTCGCTTTATAATTTTTTAATGAAACACGCGTTTTAAGCGGGATTTCACCCGCCTATACTGGATCCCAAAAATTAAACTCCCCCGCCTCTTCCGATTAGCAAGAAAAAGCCCTAGGGCGTTGGTCTTCATAGCAGCATCGCACCACCACCCAACCTCCGATCTCGCACCGCCAACTGTCTCCGACCATCTTCTCCAACCATTTGGGAGAAGTTGTTTCCAAACGTTTCAACATTTCATTACATTTGACCAGCTTCTAAACCAATTTTCCCTTCCATCTTACGAAGACATCCTATTTTTCTTCTTGAGCGATTCCCCCCTTCTCCTCTAATTACTTTCTTGGCTTCTCCCCTGACTTGCAACAAGAAAACCCTAGTTCTTTCCTTTAACTCGTCTTTGCAAAATCAAGCGCATACAACCATCATCTATGAGAGTACGTCTGTCTTCTTCCTCTTACAATCGCTAAGCCCTAACACCGAAAATTGAAAGTCAATTGACCCTCCGTTCGAAGAAAAAGGTAAGAATTTTCCTTTATTTATTCGATTCAGTTACTTTGACCTCATATTCTTCTGTTCTTCATCTTTTTTCTTCCAAATTATCAACTCTAGCCCTATACTGTGTTTTCTTTAAATGGAGAACTATTCAATTTAGGGCTTGATTGCAATTTTCTCCACGAAGCCCTTCTTCAGTAGTCAGCTTTTGCATCTTTTTTTTGAAGGACCAATGCCCTTCTTTAGTGATTTCAGGATCCATGTAAGTATCAATGTTGAATTCACCTTTTTCCGATTGCTTTTCCATCTCAGAACACAAACTAGTGATTTTGGTTTTCTTGCTTCTTTAATTCTCTAAATATTCCTCGTGCAAGGGAAGAAACTCTCTCCAGACATTCTATTTTGGGCCCAAATGGAATTCGTGGACAACACCCAGCTCCTACCTTGAATGTTGCGGTAACTTCATTTTCTTTTTGTATTCGTCTAAATGCATAGCATTAGCATCTTACTTTCATTTTTTTTTCTTCCTATTATTGCATGAAAAATCTACTCAATCATAGCAGTAAATATCATGTCTTTGCATGACATTACTATAATTGGGTGCTACGATGTTATAATAGGAAAAGGAAAGTAACAAATAAATTTAAAAGTACGTTTTTATTTGTTCATGTAAGCTTACTTGATTCAGTAACATGGAGTGCTTATACTCTTATATGTATCTCAGGTTCGTTATCCAAGCAATATAGATTTGTCACCATCAGAGAGTTCCATGAATTCCTCTCTCAAACTTGGAAGTGGTTCTACTTCTACGAGACAGAATTATGCAGGTAAGCAAGGTGATTGTTTTCAGTTTACATTAAGGTTATCCTTATTGAATCAATATGTTTTCTTGTAGGAAAACATCCCTATTTACAGAATCACATGCCTACCCAAGGTCCTGGGGGTGGTCTGCTTTCACAAAACCAGAGGACAGCAATTCCTCAAGTATCTTGGGTTAGTAGTGGTCAAGGTGTAACAGATCTCCCATTCCCAAAAAGGCTGGGAGTTGAGTTTAATGGGATAGATAGCCCTCAATCTGCTGAGAGACAAATAAGCTTGCAGACAACTAGTGCAGGTATCCTGAGTGGCATAAGACTGTTTTTATACAGTTATAGACAACAAGTTAAGTCTTACTTATCATGTCAGATTAATTTTTTTATTTTCAGGTCAAAGTCAAACACGTCAGTATCCAGATAATGTTGTTCGACCTTCTATTGGTATGACTACTTGCCCCTCTTTTTAATTTCTTGAGATCGTTTTTATGACAATCAGATCGAATTGATGCAGCACCTGTGATTTATCTGATGAATCCTCAAGGTCCCCGTTTCAGTCATGGTAAATAAAAACCTAAGAAGTGTATGTATACAGTTGGATATATTGCATACATATTTGATATTTTTTTTTTGTTTGGTCTTATGTAGGCCAATCTCAAATGGTTGAGCTTCCTAACAATCCTAGAGGACAAGCTCCTACAACTTCTGTTGATGGTCTCTCTAATAATTCTAAGTATTATGCGAGACCATATCACAAGAGAAGTGCAGTGGCCCCACCTTTAGGCGCCCATTGGGTTCAACGCCAGAAGATGTCACATCCAACAACTACTCATCATTCAATGCCAATCCGATTCCCCACAAAACCAGCTGCTTCTGTAACAGCCAATCTTGCTCATCCTTCCATACCAATCTACCAATCACAATCACAGACTCAACAACCTGTTCGTGCTCTTATGAATCCATCTATACCTTACACATGGATTTTTTGCCTTGTGGTTCTGGTAATTATTGTATCTTTAAAATTTTCTGATTCAAAATTTTGAATATAAAATTTGATTAATTAACATCTATTTTGTAGGAATTGTCACTCGTCCTCTTGTTCTACTTCTTTATAAGATTAAAGAAGGAAAAGAATATGCAGAGTTTGCTCATATTCTATGAAAGTGGTTCACTGATTTTGGTATTATGACTAAAAAGCTTATGATCCTTTTGTAATTCTCGATCTCTCTGCATAATCTTCTTATATATTATATACTTTTGTAGTTGCTTTAAGGAAGGAGTTTGCTGATGCAACTGACAGAGTGACAAGTCATACCAAACATATTTCATATGTTCCTATCTATCTCAGTATCTATTCTCCAAATGGTAATATGTAATTATAAACAAAATATGTTTCATGCATATCAAATGTTAGAAAACATAATAAGTTATTAATAAATCTATTATGTCTAAATTTTTGATCTTTTATAATAAGTTACCAAACAGATTTCATCTGGATGAAGATAACAGGCCTGCTGATTTATTTGATATAACATCGGATTTATCATTGGTGTGTAAAGCTTGTTCTTCATTTTACTAAAGTACACCTTTAAGTTTACTATCTGGATTCTCTCTGATTCTATCCATGCCATCTTTGAGCCGATTATTGCTTTAGGCCCTTACACCACGACTGACAACTTATTCTTTGAGCCACTATCTGATCTTCTTGCATATGCGTAAAGAAAGCAGCCTCAGTTGCTTATACTGGTGAGAATTTACAATTTTAAACCTGTATAATAAGATTAGCATTCTATCTTGGGATTTCCATTCCCCAGTTTATCTTTACTCAATTCGTTATATCATAATCCATAAAAACATACAAAACATGAAATTTCTTACAACTTTTCCCACATTTCATTCAAACATAAACCATTTTCAGGTTCACCAGGAGTGGGGTTCATGCCGCATATCCTTGATGTTAAAGCTGGAGAGGTGCAATCATTATTCTTTTTATGTTTCTGAAAATTTTTAATTTACCAAAATTCATAATTTCTTATCTAAATGCAGGATGTGTTGGGAAAATTGATGTGGTTTTCTCAAAACAGCACTCGAGCTGTGTGCATTCTATCAGCTAATGGCGCCATATCTAATGTTACACTTCAGCAGTTTGCAACATCTGGTGGAACTGTCACATACGAGGTTTTTTTTCTTGAAAATTCATTATTTATTTATTTTTGATGTATAAAAAATATTTAATTTATTTATAAAAAATACAGGGACGATTTGAGATCTTATCTCTTTGTGGTTCATTTATGGTTTGTGAGAGTGATGGGCAAAGAAGCAGGACTGGTGGTTTAAGCGTGTCACTTTCAGGGCCAGATGGTCGTGTTTTAGGTGGTAATGTGGCTGGCCTTCTCACTGCTGCATCACCCGTTCAGGTTTTTTTCTTTCTTTCCATAAATATGGAATGGAATCAACCATTCCATTCCAGATTCCTGATTCCTGTCTCCTGATTCCAAACCCTAAGAAACTTTGTTTTTATCTTGGTAACTTTTACAGATGATTGTTGGTAGCTTTGTTCCTGCAAGTCAGAAACAAAGAAAAACAGAGGCGAAAATAGTCAACACTACTCCCGTCAATGTGGGGACCACAAGCGGATCTTCAAGTGGAGGGATCGGGAGCCCGCTAGTCCACAGTAACAACAGTAATCCACAAGGTATGACTAATATGCCTTAGAGGTAACTAAATGTCTAAATCCCATTTGTTGAAAATGTTAATAATATTGTGTGCGTATTTTTAGAAATTATGAGTTAATTATGGGTTGTTGGTTTTATTGAAAATGTTAATAATATTGTGTGCGTATTTTTATAAATTTTTATATATATGACATGTGGTGTTCGTATTTAATTATCCAAGAGTAATAATGTCTTTGGAATTAATGTGGAAATGGAAGAAATAGTTCCATCATGATGTCAATATTTTGTCTTCTTCTCTTGCTGATAGGTCCAAGAAATCTTGTACGTAGAATGGACCTTTGTCTCTCTTTCGTGGATTTTCTGTGATCTTCTTTTATGGTAAAAGTCCACATGATAATGTGTGATAAGAAGAAGTTTTATTACATCTATAAGACTTTTAGTTGCATAATTGCTTTTTTTTTCTTGTCTATATCTTGACATCCTGGATCAGTTTTTTGTCTTGTTTTCTTGCTGTTAGGTCTGGATTGGACCTTTTTTCTATTGTGACTTCTTTTGCAAATCCTTAATTCGGTGATCTTTTCATGGTAAAAGGTAAAAGCCTCATGCCAGTTTCACATAAAACTTTCTGAAAAGATGAGGTTTATTTAACTTGTTGGTTTCTTATTTGTGCATATGGAATAAAAAAAAATACAACCATATCAGATTCACATAATAGTTTGTGATAAAGATAAAAAGGAGTAAATTTTGCATTTTTTGTAGCATAGTCAGTCACCTTACTGTCTTATTTAATTCGGAAATATGTGGTGTAATTTGCAGAAAGAACAGCACATGGATGATCCTTCAGCTCGATACGTCCATATGATTTCCTAAAAACTTTTCATCCTTTTCTTGTTATTTTGTAGTTATTTAACCCATCTTCACATTTATTTTGTACTTATGTTTTTTGTGCAGGCAATATAGATACTGTGAGCAAGTTCATAGATTTAGAGTCCTTAAGTGGTGTTATTAAGGAAGAGTGGAGACAAGTGAGGCACACATTTAAAAAAATCAACACAAATCTTGTTTACAGTGAGCCACACATTAGGTTATTAGAGCTATTAGTTTGTAGATTTTTGTTACAACTTTTATTAATTTGTTTCATTTTTCTATGGAACAATTATTTGTATGACATTAAATTTTATGTAATGGATTATATTTTTTGTATATGATATATTATTTTCTATTATTGGACATTAAATGCAAATTTAATTTGAAAATTAGTAATCCATAAATAATTTTTTTTAACATTTAAAATTATGATACGCAAAAATGTGTGTCATCTTTATTTATGACATGGCCTTTCTTGACATGGGTTTTCTTGATACGCATTGCGTGTCATAAACACGCGCGTCGTAAGGTTACGACACGCGAATGCGTGTCGTCTTCCTTTATGACAGGGCCTTCCTTGATACGCATTGCGCGTCGTAAATGCGCGTCGTCTCTCTTTATGACAGGGCCTTCCTTGACACGCATTTGCGCGTCGTCTGATCGTTTTACGACGCGCAATGAGCATCGTAAAAGGTCTTTTTTCTAGTAGTGCTCCACCCTCTCAAAACGTTTTTTTAATGCTAATCCTCCTTGTGAAGCAATTCTAAGCTTGAGTGTACGTGCTTTTGTGCTTTGAAGAATAAGGAAAGGAGTAGAGACCATCTTGGAGGAGTGAAGCACTTGGATCGGGGATTTATACCTTGCTTGCAACCTTTTGAATGTATAAAGCTTGCAACTTTACCACTCCATCATATTGATCTAGATCGTGTACGTGCGCCGTGTCAACTCGACTGGGTTGACTCAGTTGATTTATTGACTTTGACCAAGTTTGACTTAAGGGTATTTTGGGTTTCTGATTGGGAAATTTTCATTTGGTGGATAGGTGATGGTTAGAGCTGAGATTCAGAGTCAGGACCTCATCAGAAACTGTTCAGTCTGTGAGGTGAGTTTCACCTCACTATACCAATGGGTCGAAGGCACCAATGCTGACCTACTAGTTTTGGTTATCTGTTAGTAGAAGGATGCCTTAGAGACTATATATAGTCATGTAGGATAGGACTGACGACTCTTGATGTATTCTCTTTTACATGTTCTCGCTTGCTGTGGTTCTAAAGTAGGATCACCTGTCCGGGTACCTATCTCACCTTTGAGTATATACGGTTATGAATTACCTTGATTGTTGATATTCAATATGTTTCTATGTTGTAGTGATCTGTTAGATCAGTATCCTGGTATATAGGATGTTACTATGTTGTAGTGATCTATTAGATCAGTATCCTGGTATATAGGATGTTGCTATGTTGTAGTGACTCTTCTAGCAAGGATACATTACATGGATAACAATACACATTTACTACAAGAGTTGTTATAAAAGTATTTTCTCATACTCATGTCATTGACCATGGTCCTTATCATGCTCATGACATTGACTATGATCAAACCTTTTTTTCACAAGTAAATATGATTAGATCAATTAAGGATATTATTTATTATAAATTCAAACTCTTGATATGAGATATAGCAAATAGATTTCAAGAAAGACCGCTTTTCTTAATCTACTAGAAGATATCTATATAGATTAGCCTGGAGGTTTTCTTAATCCATGTTATCTTAACAAAATGTGTAGAGCTTGAGATCCACTTGTGGATATAAATCAAACATCTTAATGTTGCAAACATCATATAATGTAAAACCACAAGGTATGTTTTTATATCAAAATGAATATAAAATGTGTGTTTACTAAGGACTAATGGGAGCGCAGGGAAATTTCTAATCCTGTTTGGATGAGACATACTTAATCATAAGAAATTACATTCTGCTATACCATACTTTTTCACCTTGATTCAGAATGTATTTATAAAATGAAAGATTTAGGAAGGACAATATGCATTCTTGGAATGTAAAATCTATAAAGATAGATAAAATTAATGTTAAAAGGTTAAATCTTTATGTATACATGGAAAATATCTTGAAACGGATCAAGATACAAAATTCCTTTGGAGGAATCTTAGTATTCTCACTGGGCACTAAGTTTTGAGCCAGCCTCAAAAGGACCTAGCTTATAGGCTTGAATTAGCTTAAATGGTTTATATTCAATTCGCTTCGTAAATGAATCCATCATTTATGTCATATTATGCATAAGACTTAATATATGATCACGATATGAACATTTCATAATTTACCAACTGGATACATGGTTAAGTCAACAGATGACTATATAAACATTCTAAGAGTACTTTAGAAGAACTAAAGGAATGTGTATAAGACATATAGTTTGGAATAAAAATGGTCATTTAAAGAGCTACATAAAATTCTGATTTCTAAACAAATATATAGTTATGAATTATAATTAGATTATGATTTCACTATGAGAAGAGTATGTTTTGTTGTAATGAGGCGCCATCGAAATAAAATGACACAATATACTACAAAATAAGAGTACACTACTTTAGAAGTTTAAATCTAATATGATTGGATGAATGAGTTCATTGATAAGCTATGTTGATCTCTACCATTCAAGGATCACATAGAAATCTTTGTCACTTTGAGAGTATACTTAATCGTCTTAAGAGACTCTATGTCATGAAATAACACCAATCATATACTCCAAGATATTTAACTATATCTAGAGTAATGTCAAATATAGAGATAGTAGTATTCAAAGAATTCACAAAAATTAAGTTTAGTTGAACCCATTAATAATTTCCTTCTTTTGAGCTAAGTATGGATGATCACATTTCAGCCGTGAGACTTTAGTATTCTAGAAATAGGACTTTGATTTGGATATTGGAACATTGTGACAACAACTATTATATAATGTTTTGATATACTGGGATATGATCATAACACCAATACTTGTTGTGTTCTATATTAACATGTTCAATCTATGAATAATCTTATTACTCTAAAAGTTCATAGTCGGTTATAATTGACATGTTTTGATAATCTATATTAACATGTTTTGACATATAATCTTATTATTCTATGAATAATCTATATTAACATGTTTTGATATACTGGGATATGATCATAACACCAATACTTGTTGTATTCTATATTAACATGTTTAATCTATGAATAATCTTATTATTCTAAAAGTTCATAGTCGGTTATAATTGTGGGAGCAATTATGAAGTGAGACTAATATGAAGGTAGGAAATGGGTTGAAATCAAGTTTCATAGGTACTTGATAGAGAACTGGTATTGAACTGACCCAAATCAAGATCATCTCATGGATCACTATCATGAAAGATACTTGATCAAAAGGTACTATCTTTGTATCCTTAACACTTGAGATACATAGTGGGAGTCAAGTGTGAGGAACGCTATGCTTAGATATTGTCAAATGCTCGTCCTTAACCGGGTAGTTATAAAAGCCACTTTCAAGTATGGTATGAACTATGCAAGTGTAACTACCCAAAAATAGTTCCAAAATATTTCAATTAAAAACCATTAGTTTTCATTCATTGATTGTATCAAAAGACACCAATCATTACAATTTTCCAAAACATCAGAGTGCAAATACATCAAGGGCGGAAATCATGTGGGGAGGATGTTATGCCTTCACGCCAGGACCTTCCTTTGGAACTGGAAATACCTGAAACCATAAACATAAACTATAATCATAAAGCATAGTGAGCTTCCCAAATTATCATATACAACATACATATCAAATAATAACACATAGCTGTGTCAGGTCCGTATCAACCCAAAATTCATCATACAGTTCTGTTGGGTCTGAATCAACCCCCGAGTCCATATTAACCCCGAGTCCGTAATGACTCTGAGCCCATATAGCTCAATGCATAAATCATACAATCACAAAATACAGAATCATACGATAATATACATTTCTACTCATACAATATAGTTGGTCAACCTTGGTGCCTTCATCCCACTTAAGGTGGTAAGAAGACTTACCTCACAAAAAGATGAAAAGTTGAACTAGCACACTGCTCCAAAACCCACACTACTGGTTACCTTTACAACTAAAATCCACCAATACTCAGACTACCATTTAAATACCTAAAATGCCCCTAGGCCAAATCCTAGTCAAAACCAAGTCAAAGTCAACCAGGTTGACTCAATCAGTACGCGGGGCATACTCATCGTGTATGTGGGGTGTACCTTGCAGTTGAACGAAGAACGGGGCACTGGCCTTGTACACTTAGCGTACCCTTTTTAGTACGCCTTGCATACGAGGC